AGGGCGGAGGCTGGTGACATCACCTCCCAGCCTGAACGCCCATGGGGAGGGGGGTGGATGAAGTTAGCAGGGCGAGGGAGCTGGACCGCGGATCTCTCCCGGAGCCGCCAGGCTGCATTGCACGAATTGCTGTCCGTTTGCAAAGGATGCTCCAGCATCCTTTCTGACCCAGGTAAGAGCATCTCTGGGAGTGGTACCTGACCGCCCCGCATCTGGGCCCTGCTGCCGCGGACGAGACGGGAGCAGGAGGGCTGAGGAGGGTCCTCCGCCTCGCTTTGCGTCCGTCGCTCCCTCTGCCCCATCCTCTGGGCTGGGGGGACAAAGAGAGAGACGGGGCTCCGTGTCCCATGTCCTCCCTTCCTGGACAGACTGGCCATGACAGAGGATTTTTCCACACTGCCCTCCCCCCCGGGTATGATTTGTTAAGGCCAGGAGCTCTGGGTTTATTCCCCTTTGCTGGTTTTTCTTAAGTTTCTAGTCCTCTGGGTTCTAGAAAGACTCTTCCCACGCTCTGAGGCGAGGAGTGACCACCAATGCACGAGAAAATGCTTAATATGTTTCTGCTTCGCGACCCAAATGTAAGGGGTCACTTTGGTTCCTGCTGCCGCTTTGCGCTGGGTCCCCTTAGGAATCATCCCCCTCTTTCCCAAATCGACTGTGAAAATCTTTAGGCTGTAGGCCTGGCGGGAGAAAGGATTGCTCCGTGCAAATAGCCATCCCCGTGCCTAGAAACATAGCCCCTCAGGGAGAAGAGCTGAGCTGAGCTTTCTGTCTAAGAAACAAAGTGAGAAAAAAAAAGTGGGTGAGCGACTGAAAGAAACCTGATTATATTAGCAGGCAAACTGTGCAGGTTTTAAAACAGCAACCTGAAGGCTGGATATAAATATGACATCATACTAATCCATATATTTTCTCTGCAAGCAAAAATTTAGCAAAGAGAATCAAAGATGGAGCTAGAGATATTTCTACTTGCGGGTTGGTATTCAATATTTTTTAGCTTTATTAACAGAAGAGTTTCTAACTGACCGCCTTCTTTCATACAGACCTTTTCCCAGGTATAAATACTGAATATGGATGTGGTCTCCCTACTTAAGCTATCAAATATATTCATATCAATGACCAAATTATGTTTCTCTTTTCTTGTTTTCAGTTCCCTTTTTTTATCCCTGGATGCTCTGTTAATTCTTAAGCACATTTTAAAATAGGGGTTTAAGATAGTCCATCTGACTACCCTTTGGGCATGATAATAATAAAGGTCAGTGCATTAATCAAAAGCCTTCATTATAATTAAGGATTTGATATCAAATAATTTATTTATTGGCAGCCCCAGTCCAAAAAGTCACATAAATAAGTTCACTATTTAATGTTAATCATATCCCTTTATTATGATTCACAATCTGATATCAAATAATTAACTTATTTATTTGCAGCTCGCGTCCGGTAAGCCACGTAAATAAGTTAACTATTTAATATCAAATCACTAATCATATCGCTTCGTTATGATTCACAATTTGACATTAAATAGTTAAGTTATTTATTTGCAGCTCCTGTCTGGTAAGCTACAAATGCAGTCCTTAAAAGAACCAGAAAAACGAACCTTGAAACAATTAGTGATCGAAGGGAGGTGCCAACTGATTTTGACAAGCCGCGATGATTGCTAAGAACTTGGAAAGCTTTCCAACGGTTACCCGTGTCTGAACTTGTCGGGGAAGTCGATAATCTCTTCATCAGAAAGACAATTCAGATTCCTGACGATTTATGAGCGCCTTGAGCGGTACAACACACAATTGTACAATTGGTAATGGGCCAATTCAAACCAGGGTTAAAATCTCCTAGGAGGAACACGGAAGAAACATCTCGAGAAGGTCCACACGGGGAAATCGTTGATATGTTCTTCATCCGCCACGTTCCGATTGACAATTTGAGAACGAGTTTGAAACGTTCCTTGCACATTTCCGTCCGTGATGTACAACCAGGGGTGGGGGTCATGTTATATCTACCTCTAGAGTAAAGAAAAATAGAGAGTAAGTTCATAATGTCTACTTTTTGCAGCAAGTCCAACATGATTCCTCCGACGATCCTCGCAAGTCCTTCCAGCGAGTTACTTTTCCCCACTCTCTCTTCTCCGGATCTCTGGAGGACCCAAGTGGTGAACTGCTCCGGGTCCATCCCTCGGCACATCAGCCACCGGGCCAACAACTTCAAAAGGCACCCGAGGCGGAGGAAACACATCCAACCCTCCCCACCTCCTCCTCCTAACACCCCCTGTCCCAAGGACCGTGGCCCCTTTGGCGAGATCCACCCAGAGAGATCTTTCTTGGAACTGTTGTTCAACGGGTGCATCCTGTTTGGGATCGAGTTCAGCTACGCCATGGAGACGGCCTACGTCACGCCGGCCCTCCTGCAGATGGGCCTGCCGGATCAGCTGTACGGGATGGTGTGGTTTATCAGTCCAATTCTGGGTGAGGCAGTTAAGATCTGGCCCCGTGCAAACAGACGGGCCTGAAAAGTCCTATTTTGCCATGCGTTTCATGCGTTGAGCTGTTAGAGGAGGGCCGAGATCACCTTGATAAAGAGCTGCTAGGGGAGAAAGTAGTAAATAACCTCCTTAGGAGGGAGTGTGAGAAAGTGACTTCAAATTACCCCATCTTGATTCGCTTTGATATAAGAAGAGGCAAAGGGAAACTTGGATGGGCTGTCAAATTTTTGTTATCATACCCTCCAAAAGGAAAGTAGCTTTGTGCCTGTAATCCTTCCTCTGTTATTGTAATGGTAGGTGGGAAAGACCTTGGGAGACGGGGCCAAGAGATGCCGCCTAAGGAACGGTTGGATAAGAGGGAGCCTAGCCCACAGCTGTATAGTGGGTGGGGCAAGAGGCTCAGAAGGGACCCTCCCTAGTCTCTCGGGCTGTAAAAGGGACGGCAGGAGAATTGTATTTTCAGACTGGCGAGATTCTGTTAATGTAGCTTTACAGTTAGGTAGAATTAGCTCATCTGGTCGTGTTTCTTGTCTGGGCTACCTAGTAAGGCTGAGCTAATTCTACTTTATTGTAAAACTACGTTAACAGAATCTCGCAAGTCTGAAAGTACAAATCTCCCATCTCCTTTACAGCCCGAGAAACTAGGAAGAGTCCCTTCTGAGCCTCTTGCCCTACCCACTGTCCAGCTGAGGGCTATGCTGCCTCTTATCTGACCGTTCCCTTGGCAGTGTCTCTTGGCCCAGTCTCCCAAGGTCTTTCTCACATACCATTACAATTATCATATCCTACAACCCTAAAGTAGATAATTTCCCATAATCCTTGCTCAGTTATTATCATACCTTGCAACAGGAAAGTAACTTGTGTCCTGTAATCCTTGCTGTGTCTGTTTCTTGACCTGGCCTATCTTGAAGGGCTGACACCTGTGTACTCAAGACATTGTGCATGGCACTCCCTCCTCCTCCTCCTCCTCCCTTTCCGCACAACAACTCTGTGAGGTAGGCTGGGCTGAGCAAGAGTGAGGGGCTTAGACTCATCCGGGGAGCTTCCTGGGCCAAACCCGGTCCTAGTCCATACTTTAACCAATACACCACATTGCCTCTCACAACTCCAAGCTGTGTCTTGGTTTAATCTCCTCTCGTCTCTTGCTGGCGGCGCCCAATTTAGAATTCACGCCATTCCAGGGTAATTCCAATTTTAAATTATTTTTAAAGCTGCTGATGTGGCCACATCTTGTGCTATTGAGTTTCACAACTTTCTTCCCACTTAATATATATTAAGAGGTGGGGGGAGAGACTGGAACTGGCTGGGGGGGTCAGATCTGGACCCTCCCCTCTGGGTGAGCTGCTTAAAGTCAGAAAGCAGGGATGGCCAAATGGCTGAAGGGGCATCAACCCCCTCCCAATATGCCTTTTGAGAATGTCCTACCCAACAATGTCCCTTACAGCAAAAAGTTTGTTGGCAGGGTATTAATTCCAGTTTCCCTTCTTTTCCTAGGCTTCATGCTGCAGCCCTTATTGGGGGCTTGGAGTGACCGCTGCACCTCCCCAATGGGTCGGAGGAGGCCCTTCATCCTTGTTCTGGCAATTGGTAATTGGATTGGACTCCCTGCACTAAGAAAGCTATCCCATTCAGTTAGAATACTGACATGCTACCTTTCTGCCTGTGAGGACCTGCGCTTTGTTACTTTCGCTGGTTTGGAGAAGCCCTCCATCCTGGGAGTTGTGTCAGGACATGAGGCAGGGAAGGTATCAGTTAATTGGCCTCAATGAGGGCCAGAACCTTGTTAGAAGCAAGGCTCTGAGCAGGTTGGCTCCAAAGCAGGTTGGCTGATCAGAAGCTGGGTGCAATCTTGATCCAGAGTCCTGTTCAAGGCTTGCCCTTTTCCTGGGTGTTTCTGTTTCTGCAGCAGATCCAGGCCTTCTGCAGAGCTTTGGGCGTGCAGGGCAAAGACCTGGAGGGGGCTGGGGCCCTTTTTTGGGGGGGTGAAACATATGTCGTATGCATCTGCATGATGGAAGCTACCCTTTCAATGTGCATTTAGCCTGGCTTGGGGTTATTTGCTTCCCTGTGTTGTGTGAATCTGTCCCGGGCGGGTGTGTAAATGGATCTCTGCAAAAGAAAGAGAGATGGAGAGATTTTCAGAAAGGGAGGCAGAGGAAGAGAGAAAAGCCAGCCTTCTTAGTGATGTCATAATGATGTCACAGAGATCAGGATAGACCTGAATTACGTTGTTTGCTCAGGGGCACCCTGACCCACAGTTGTCCCCTCTGGTGGACATCCATCCACTTTCATTCTGGTTCTGGCCACCCCTCACATACAGCGTGTGAACCCTGATAAATTAACCCCTGTTGAAAAATAACACGGATAGCATGGCTGGGGCTTGCCAGAAAAGCATTGTTGTCTGAATGTGGGCGTTACCCTAGCATTCCCCGTGGCCTGCATGATCATACCGTTCTTCCAGTGGACCTTTCTGCCTGCGTTCCAGGGGCGCTGGTGGGGCTCTCCCTGATGCTGAACGGACGGGATATCGGCGCTGCTGTGTCCGACACGGCAGAGGACCACAAATGGGGCATTGCACTCACCATCTGCGGTGTCATCTTGATGGATTTCTGCGCCGACTCAGCCGACAACCCCAGCCATGCCTACATGATTGACGTCTGTCGCCCGGCGGATCAAGACCGGGCGCTCAATATTCACGCTCTTTTAGCTGGTGAGTTTCCCGCAGCAGCAATAATAGGAACAGCAATAACAACAGCCATGCCGTGGTTTGATTTAAGGTGAAAAAAATTAGGTACCTGCTTGCAACTCTTTAAAGTAGCTGCATCCATCAGTTCGCAACTCTTTAAAGTGACTGCATCCATCTAGTCGCAACTCTCTAAGGTAGCAGCATCCGATAGAAATAATGTGAATTTGGATTAATTAGTGGTAAGAGATTAACCTTTTTTAATTTGTACTCATATCTGTATTGGAGATAGTTGGAAGTCACTTTCCGTTTCATCTTTCTATCTGTTCTCATTATTTTAGTTTTTGTCTTTTTCTTTTAGATCTATTTTCTTTCTTTTCTATACTTTCTGATTTGTATTTTAACTCTGCTTTTTACATATCTTAATAGAAGTTTTAATTAAAAAAAGGTAGCAGCATCCATTGGTTTGTAACTCTTTAAAGTAGCTGCATCCATCTGTTTTGCAAGTCTTTAAAGTAGCTGCACCCACCAGTTTCCAACTCTTTGAAGTAGCTGCATCTATCGGTGTGCAACTCTTTGAAGTAGCTGCACCCACCAGTTTGCAATTCTTTGAAGTAGCTGCATCCATCAGTTTCCAACTCTTTGAAGTAGCTGCATCCATCGGTTTGCAACTCTTTGAAGTAGCTGCATCCATCAGTTTGCAACTCTTTGAAGTAGCTGCATCTTTTTCCAGATCTGGAAAAAGGATCTGCCTCTTTTTAAGGATCTGGATGGAGGATTTCCAGAAAGAAAATTGAACTGGGCTTTGGTTCTCCCCTTGCAGGACTTGGCGGCGGATTTGGCTACGTCGTTGGAGGAATTAACTGGAACGGCACCGCCTTCGGGAAGGCCGTGGGGGGACAGCTGCGCGTCATCTATATTTTTACCTCTGTCACCCTGACACTGGCCACCATCTTGACTTTAGTCAGCATCCCCGAACGGTCCTTGCTGTCTTTCAGCAAGCAGAAGAAGGTCATGAAGAGCCCCAGCCTCACACTCCCACCCTCGCCCCCATTGCTGTTCGAGGAGTGCCCACCTGAGAGCCCAACAGAGTCCCAAAACCCAGTCCGTGTGTATGCCAACTTTACCAGCCCCGTTTCCCCGCTCAGCCCCCTGACCCCGAGATACGGGAGCCTCATCAGCTGGGATAGTTCTTTGACGGGGCTGAATGATTTTGCTTCCTCCTTCGGCACCTCGAATATCGACGGCGTCCTCATCGACTGCTTCACCGGTGGGACGGACGGCTACCTATCCATCCCAGGAAGCATATCCGGGCAGGGTGTCAGCGTCAGCTTGCCCAGAGCTCCGGACGGGTTGAATTGCCACGAAAATGCAACGTTGGAGGGCAGAGAAAATGGAGGGGAGGGGCTGAGGGTGGGGTCCTTGGATGCAATAAAGCCCCGCTCAGTGGGAATCCTGAAAAGGCCGCAGACTTTGGCAATCCCGGATATTATCACGGGGAACCTTCCAGAAAGCAGTCGGCGAAGGAACGTAACGTTCAGCCAACAGGTGAGTTGGAAAGGCAGCGAGGCTGGCTTTCTCGAGCCTCAGCCATTTTTCTTGCTGGATACATTACATTTGTTAATGCAAAGAAGGGGTGAGGCTGATGGTGAGACGATTTCAAAAAGGCTGGAATGGATTCACAGCAGAGGCATCTGTTCATGGTGCATAGAACCTCCATGCTTACAAGCAAGATACCTCGGCATCCAATGAGATGCTAAAGAAAACATAGGAGACAATACTTACGTTCTTTGCATCCTGCTTGTGAGTATTTCTGAATGATCAGCCTAGTTTTTTTGGGGGGGGGAACAAAATTGTTCCCTGGTTCTGATTCTCCATAATCATCCAGAAGAAACAGTGGTTCTGTGGTATTATTTCTTTATTTATCCTCAATGCAGCAAGAGGATAGCAAAGTTTAGCAAAGGTACCCTACAACCAAGTTTTGCAAAGGTACCCTACAACTTTAATTAGAAGCTTTCTTTTTCTGCAGATTTTGCTTGCAATTCTTTCTTATCTAGCCCACTTTACTAATTAATTGGCCCTTTTGACTGCCATCTATGGACATTTCTGTGCCTTAATTGTTGGTTTACAAATACAATCTGCCAGTAACACAGGATGTACTGCACAGGAAGCCATAAGGCAGAACTACAAGGTGGAAACTTCTAATTAAAGGCACAGTAGTGTGCAAAACGAATCATTTTTTCATGCTGAACAGATGGGCATTTTTCCTGGAGAGGAACCCCCAGAAATCTAAATAAGGAAAAATGGCAAGAATAACAATCTGTTCCAGAGCTATGCCATATCAAAGAAATGTCACTTTTATTGTAGTGAATCATTTGATAGAAACTGTCTTGGAGAAATATCCAATGTAAAAGTAGAATAGATAACAAGTCAACAAATTACAGAAGAACAAAATAAAACAAACACTGGAAAATCAAATGAAGAAGGATGGTATGGGGGATATTGTGATTGTGGTCTCCAGCTAGTTGCAATAGTGTACTAAAGTTGTGATCCTGATCTCCAAGCAGTGGCAAGACTATAATTGCTGGGCATGCTGCATTGTTGTTTGTAAGCTTCTTGTGAGCCTTGCTGGCTGATTAAGAACCGACTTTGTGATGCAGGTAGCAAATATTTTGCTGAATGGGGTTAAGTATGAGAGCGAATTGAACAGCTCAGATCAACTCTCTGAACAGCCACTGTCGATAAAGCTCCTGTGCTCGACCGTCTGCCACATGCCCAAAGTCCTTCGCAACCTTTGCATCAACCACTTTCTAGGTAACCCTGCTCAAGGGGGATTCTCTTCCACATCTGCTTGGTTCTTTCCTCCATGAGGTCAAGATCTCTATGGCGTTTTTGTTCCTTCCCACCTGCTTCCCCTCACAACAGCCTGGAGAGGTAGGCCAGGCAGGAGGTTACGCTAAGGCCTAAAGTGGTTTTGTGGAAGTGGGCTGGCCACTGGGTGCCAATTCAGCTAGTGTGGCTGATAAATCCTGGTTTGTTGTGGGTCTGGGGGGAACTGTAAGTCGTCAAGCTCTGGAGGGCCCTGGTTCCCCAATCCTGCTTGAACACTGCATCTTCTCCTTCACCCTCCATCTCCCTTTCTCAGAGGACACGCCTCTTCCAACCCCGTGTCTTTCATGTCTTGTTGTCTGATCCCCCTCTTAGGCTGGCTCTCGTTCGAAGGCATGCTCCTCTTCTACACCGACTTCATGGGAGAAGTGGTCTACCAAGGGAATCCCAAAGCCCCCCCGGATTCAGACGAGCACCAGAGGTACAATGCCGGAGTCACCATGGGGTGCTGGGGCATGTGCGTCTACGCCTTCAGCGCAGCCCTATATTCAGGTAAGCCTTGGGGCCCTTGTCTTGGGAAACGCAAGCAGGGAGGACGGCATCGGCTAGGGGGTGATGTTTCGGGGATGGGGGGTATGTCCTGTGTTCTGAGAGGGCTGTATCACTTCCTGGATGCAGTAATGATGCAAGGCATGCCATTTTAACCAAGGCTACATCCATTTTAAGGATTGTCTCACTGGTGTTTTAAGAATCTTCCAGAGTTATTCCATTGACTGCTTTAATTGTGAAATTGTGATGGAAAGTTCCTATGGTTATCTTCCTTCCTTCCTTCCTTCCTTCCTTCCTTCCTTCCTTCCTTCCTTCCTTCCT